GTCTCACGTGGAGTTACACGAAACGGTTTGCAAATTAAGGAGCAGGACTTCATTATCTCACGCCGTTCGGCATCAATGGAACCGACATGGTCTAACGAGGCACCGTGTTTCAAGTTATTGCCACGTATCTCACGTCCAAATATCTTGCGATATTTGCGTTAAATCGAGCTATTTTCATATTTTCGCTTACATTCTCGTTCGTTTGCTTCCGCTAGACACGCAAATATTTTTCACGCGCAGGTATGTAGAAACGAGTTTCCCAAATAGTAGGCAATCCGCGATAATTGAAAATGAAATATTTCAACCTCCGATAACAAATATTATTGATAAAATCTACGGAAGGAAAATTTCGCTGTCCCTACAACCCGAGGGAAAAATCGCGTTGCCGTACTTGGGAACGAATAAAATTCGGTTTAAAAACATACGCGCTCGAAGAGATGGTTCCGTCGCGACGTAAAATATGACTCGAGTCGCAAGAAAAAATGAAGAAGAATGGAGAGAGAGGAGAGAAATAAAATGGAGGAAAAAACGTGTGAGAAACTCACCGCCGCCGAATGCCTGTCCGTTCTTATCCTCGGATGGAGAGCCTTCTAAACTCGCGGGACCACTATCCGCGCCGCCAGTAGCACTGTAAATAAAACGAAAGGAGCACACGAATAAACTATAAACTAACTCGCTTTGCCGTGCATTATACTTATAGAACTTACGTTCTTCGGAAGGTTCAACGCAATGAAACGCAAGTGAATGTACAGAAGAAGGAATATTAATTATCTATACGCGTTAAGTGTTAGACGATGAGATAATGAACATGATTTATGAGAAGAGAGTTTAAGCTACTTTTAATTTCATAAATTAACGCTTACCTTGTGTATCAGGCATTAACCAAATCAATTCGAAAGCGTATTGTAAAAACTTTTCAGTCTGTCTTTGACTGTTCGACAAGTTTAGGTTTATAGATAAGTGAGAGTCGATTTTAAACGTTCAAGTTTCACTTAAAATTTTCTGAACTTAACGAAACGGTATTTTATTTATGGAGTTCATGAAAAGTTCTTACCTACTGGCGTCGTCGTCTTTCGTCGGTTCCTCGGCGGGAGCAGCCTCGGTGTTTTGCAATACCTGCGCATCGTTCGGAGCTCCGGGCTGTGCTTCACCTTCGCCTCCTTGTCCACGGCTCAGACCCGGAATACCAGTAAACCAGCCCGTCATTTGAGACTTCACGCCAACCAGCATATCCAGCTTGCTTCCGCCTTTAGTCGGACTGGAACAAGAAATACAACGCACATTTCAGTCTATTGTATCACGATTACTTGAAATGGAATACTTTTAATAAATATTTAGTGAAACAATTTTACCAACATTTTTTACATTAAGTACTGAAATATGATAGCTAGTTACTAACAACGAGCAACGTGACCGAGTGCGGCTATAACTTATTTAGAACCGCATCTTTTGTAACTGATTCATTGAGGTGATAATCATGGCCAATTAAAAAGGTTCTCCAGTAAAGAACGTGAAAAATTTCACTTCGGGCACCAAGTTACTTGGGCCAAGATAAGGTTGAATAGTAAACTATTCAGACGAATGTTTCATCAAAAACAATGACGCTAGATGCTCTTTAGCATTCGTGGGGAGACTCCTCCCGATTGTTATTAGTTAAACAGTTTATTAATCATGCAAATCGTTAATAGCATCCCTGAATGTTCTCTGTTCACCGACAGCGTATATACGAGCGGTGCTCTTTAATAACCGGTATTAGATTCGCACCGAGCAGATGCAATTATTCTGAATTACCTGCTTGCTGTGTTCCCATGCGATTACGCTTTGCATGCAACGACATTTATCAGTAACGCGCGACACAATACAATAACTCGCGATGAGATGTAACAATAAATGTCGAATTACAAATTCCCCTCCCTACCTTTAACGGAACGAGGAAAGATGAGAGGATGTAAAACGGAGTAAAAAAGGAAGCAGGAGGTCTTATTATACGAAATTTAACAGTTTCGTGGGAGGGTGACCGCGCTATCGATTGCGACCTATATAAAAGATTACGAACCACCATCTCCCTCGGTTTTATAGAAACATTCCTGTTTCTTTTTACACGAATGGATCCCGAATCCTCCATCTCTTCGTCATTCAATCAAATATCCGCATACAGCGTTATCGAACAATTTCGAAAAAAACATTGTCTGAACAGAGAAATTCGTTCCAATTCATTCACGCTGAAACGTTCATGTACGACATAACTGAATTCGGCATTATTAAAATGTGCATCGTCATTTACCGAGGAACGGCCGAGGATTTGTTGCGGTGAAAGCGACTATTTTCCTAATCGTCTTTTTCTTCGTTTCACCTTTTCGCGGAAATTAAAAGGAAGCTCGAAAACATATTTGCCTGGAAAAGCTACCTACGTTGTCTCAATAAAAATGTATACTACTCGGATACGAGGGAATCGAATTAACGGGTGAAATTGGGAATGAATCTTGATTTTGATGAACAAAGAACACTCCGTTCGATGAAAAACAGAAATCGAGTTTCCTTCTCTCGTAAAAAAAGAATCTGGGAGAGAAACTACGTATTTCACGTTGACAGAAATATGCTTCTGTGTAAGTCAATATTTGACGATGAAGATACAAATAATGACTGATATTACGTAATGGAATACGATAAGAAAGGTGTAATTGTAATTAATTAATCCCAGACATTTTGACATGAATGAGGTTAAAAATACTTCATCTAAAAATGTACGGCAGCAAGGGAAGCGTGATGTAACATTCAGACACTTTAATATGCATCTGATATCGATCCATAAAACGAAGCGAAAATTAGGGACTATTGAGGAAAATTTGTGTCGAGCGACACAATGTATCTTCCAAAAATATGTATTATTCACAGTGTTAAATAGGTATTATTGTTTGTTAATAATCCCGCAAATTGTAGATAAGACTATCTATAACTGCGGCAGTTATTGACAACTGCGACATACCGCAGGCGAAGCTTAAGCACGAATGCATTTCAGACATAACCTGATTTTGGTTCACTGGACGTTGTTACACCGTCGCGTACGACGTAACTGTATACATTTTATGTAAGCGTAGAGACGAATGCTATCGATCTGATTTCAAAAATGCAACCGGGATCGAATCTGAAAGTTTCAACGCGTCGCATAGGTGCGCAGGAACGCTGTGTACCTAATACGTTTTCAAATTCAATTGAGAATTAACACGATTCGCACGTACGGACTCGCTGTACGTTTGTTCAAGGAAAGCCAGTGTCGCTTGAATGCAATTGCGCATTTTTCCGTAGCTGGCAAAACGACGCTGTTTCCAGTGATAAACTAGATTAACTTGCTTTCCGAAACGATGAAACGCGATGACTTACAATTTACGTCGAATGACTTCGCTATGTCTGACAACAGAATTGTAGGTTAATGCTCACCTATTTTTATTTGCATCTTCGCCTTCAGCGACGGGAATCTTCTCGGGAGCCGGCATCTCCGGGCCGGCTTCCTCTCCCTTCTTGCCCATCCATGTAGACATCTGATTCGTTAACCCGGTGAACATCTTCGATGATCAATGCGACAATCGGTTCACACTGGTGTATGTGCTTAATATGTCAATCTTCCTTCCTCTGCCTATCTCCTACGCTAGCACAAACGTCACTGAAACCCTTACGGGACCGAATGTGTGTAGAGACCTGTCCTCTTCGATGGTCGCGCAACCACGAACTGCGCGGATTTTCCATGCGACGGCGATGACCACTGATCTATACGAGTACCACGACGCACTCTGTTCTGCGCAACGTGCGCCGCCGTTTTCAGGAGGTGGCGTCGCCACTAACCTTGAACGGGAACGAATGAAAGCAACGCCGTAATCGATTTAAATGTGCGCGAAATATGATGAACCGAGAGCTCGTAGTCTGGTTTAATCTCACGTTTCAAATTCCACTTGAAGATGGTATTAATAGATGGAAACGGACTCAAATAAGTTGCAGAACCGTGGTGTCTTCATTTTTTTTATAAAAATATATTATTTTATTATTTATACAAGGCAATTACAACATTATCGAACACGGTATGTATAATTTGTACATTTCCTACTTCTTCGAGGACTTCAGCATCAGTGTTGCGAATCGTTATGTTGTACGTTATTAATCGGTGGTAGACTTTTACGCTATGACTATGTTACTACGAACTGACGTACCATCGATTGGCATTTTGGTTTACGATACATATGTATGCCCTTAAATGTTGTACTGCTTTCTGGAATCATGATTTATGCGTACATTTTGGTAGTCAAGTGTTGAAGATATTAAATTCATGAATCACTATTGGAGCAAGGATACGAACAGCACCTTATGTTCGACATCACAGCCTAATACGAACATTTTGTAGCGTTTTTAAATCGAAGTCGTTTATATTACAGTTTCATCCCTTTTCATACTTGAATCCCTTGTTTCCTGATATTAATATAATTGTGTATTTCCGATTCCTAGAGTCTAATCGTCTGATCAATTTTACTAGCGGAGTTTCGACGTGTGGTAAAAATTCGATCAAGAATTGCCTATGAACCTGCGTTGTCTTTTTAAATTTGCATTCGTTTGGAATCGTGTAACGCAAGTCGCTAAATTATTCTCGATATTCGAAGTATATACATTTAGTATTTATATACCTAGGAATGTGTATTATTTATATAGTCGCTATTTTGCCGACGCTGCTGCCTGTACAGCGGCCTGTTGTTCGCGTTGATACCTGAAAATACAGGAACTTAATATGATTGCAAGAGAGCATGTATATAATTCGAGAACGACGAGGCTCACATTATTCCTCGGCTGACTTGGTACAGAGACGTTATCGCGACGAACAGATTTACGCTGAAGAGGCTCCAGTTTTTCGGAGTAATCGCTAAGGAGTATCTGGTCCAGATTACACCGGTGATACCCAAAGCAGTCGATTGGCTGATAGAGATCTGACTCGCCGGCCTCTGCAGATCACCGAGGCCAGCCATCACGAGGCCCTGTAATTTGTAAAAATTCGATTTTACGTGACGACGCGTGTACGCTAACAGCGAGGTATACGTAACGGGGATGGGAAAAAAAGGACGACGAGAATAACGAGCATTCCGTTGCAAGGAAAGACGAATAGTGAGAGAGTTAACAATGCGGATCGCGTTCTGACTGTTCACTTTAAAAGGTTGACCTATATTCAGCTAAATCGACCGCGATTCGAGAGATGCGCGCGCGTTACTTCCATTCGAAGAATCGCTAATTCGTGAAATTTTACGACATGAACTTCGACGCGTGTTTCGATACTTAGTACCTTGATCCCGTTTTCAACATTACACCGCTGCTGCTACGGGTTATCGATTACGTAGCAGAGTAATGCAGTCTGGGAATGGTCGATTGAACGCGTTGTGAACGATATTCGTTGTATCTTTCGTAACGATCGTCGCGCGTGAGCTTCGACGTCACATTTGGACTGAGTCCACGAAAATACAAACGTCTTCATGGTTAAGGAATATTTTTGTAACGTTTACCGCAGCCAGAAATATAAAGCGTCGAGCTGCATTACGATCCGGTTCGTATCGTCTAGATTGTTATTATTGGAAACATGTATGTACAATCAACGATTTTCTTTCTGACTTATTACCCGATCACTGAGCGAGACGTGACAGTTTCAAGGATATTACTGACCCATTTAAAAGCCGGTGCCCAGAAGAATATTGTCTGCGGACCTGAAAGGGGAAAATAGGTCGATACTACTGTTACGTTATTCCTTTTAATATTTCCGGTATCACATTAGTAAACACCGTTTATGACTACGCCGAATGACATGAGAGCGATGGCATGACACAGCGATAACGACAAGCGAATGTTCTTTAATTTTGACTTTGTACTATGATAAAAATGTATTTCATAACAGGCGCGCACGTTACTCAATCTAGTTTCAAAACCCAATCACAAAAAATTTCGTCTGCTACGAACGACGCTCTTGTTTAACAGATATCAGCGAGTTATCGCGATTTTTTCAATTGGCATTACGAAAATCCCCGGGCGCAGAGGATGAAAAATGCATGAAAGTACCAGCCCTAGAATGTAGGGCACTGTGTCGCGGGTGTGACATTGATTTATGTGTGCACGCGCGTTAGACGGCGGTCAAGTCCAATCCGAGGAGTTCGTACTGTCTGATATCCGGGCAAGCATGCGACGAAAAAGGTGTAAAATTTCACGACCGACACGATATGTGTTTTAGCGGAGTGAACGGTTTCGCGGTGGGCATGGGCGCGTAGTCACGATGCACGCACGTGTTACTATTTGAAAAATGTAAATGTTCGTCGATGTAGTAACGTACTAACCAGCTGGGTGATTCCACAGTGGCTGGAACTTCGCAGGCACGAACTTGCCAATCGTGTTCATCGTATTTTTATAAACGAGCGACATTGTTCTTTCACACGTTCACACGGATTGAACGGTAGTATGAGAGAAGAAGACAGAGATGCCACGATGCCACAGTCAGTACGAGTGAACGTGGAAATGACAAGGGACAGGACGATCCGCACACTGAGACTGAATATCGCGATGTGCCGCGATTGGTAGCCGTGCGAGTATACGAGCACGATCCACTTCCCTTTTCCCCGCACTGATTTCCGGGACCCAGGCGCTCAGGCCGTACGTAATACGTAATACACGCGAGATTATGTATTACTCCCTGTGCCGCGTGTACGTACGTTGGTACGTACATCGTTTGCGCACACAAGGATTTATTTAGAGCCTCATTACGAACGCATCGTAGTTTAATCGATTAAATGTTGAACAATTAGCGATCCCTAATTAACGAGGAATTATCGGCTAGCGTTAATATCGCCAGATACTCGCTATGCATGAAAATTTCCATTAGATATTCAAAAGACTTCGTTTACGTTGAAGAGCACTTTTAGTTCAATTTATAAGCTTACTGATAATAATACTATCGACACGCGTGCTAGAATACACTAGCCGACATTGGCCTAGAGCATAAAATTGCACGTTCTACTTAATGCCAACTCGTGGTCATTCAATCCTATTAATAATACGTTTCGACCACGTGCAGTTTGTTGTGCTTCGCAACACAGGCAGCAGCGTCGGACTGCAAACATAATTCCGTTTTCAGTCCGTTGATCTCGTGGGAAAACTCGTATATCACATATAGTACAAACGTATGTATTTACAAAGTTTTATTCATGTTTAAATGTATACAATTTCCTTAACTCCAAGTAAATTGTAAAAAAGTAATAATTCAATATATGTTATAAAAAAATGAGCTCGGCGAGAAAGAGAGAGTACAGAGTTTGTTCAGGGCAATTGAGTACCGATCCGTTCTCTCGCGAGCAACGGATATTTTTCACATCTCTCGTGAATTGCACCACAGTTTACCCGAATACATTCAATGTATTCGTATATCACAAGATATCAGTAGATACTTTGACATGTACGCAATCGCGAAGTACACGCCGAAGTATATGCTATCTATTCAATATAAAATTTTGTTCAATTTTTTAAAATTTTACCAACAAATATCGACAACCTTCGTTCCATACATCATCTTTCCATTGAAGTATTTATCTTGCTGGAACATTTCGTAATGCAACAGCAATAAAAAGTCGAAAAAAGATATGCGATATTGAACAGAAAGCATAATAGTAATATTTCATTAATTAAAATAAATGCGCAAATGGAACGTTCAAGTGAAACTGTGCTATAAACTGAATAATTGCAAATTGATATAGAAATAGCAAATTCCATAAAAATTTAACTTACGTTACAGATAAATTTCTCATATTATCATACATTTAAGGCACATAGTGTAACATACCAGTAAAAACTGGTACAAATTGACTTTATAGTTCAATACATGAACAAAAGTCGAAGATATGGAAGTCCTTTATAGTCCGTAAAATATTAATTATCTAGCGATATTTCATGTCTATATCCTGAATCGAATGATCTCAGCTTTTAACATGTTACACGTTCGAACAATTAACAAAAGTAAAACGTTTGTATCTTCCATATCGATAACTCGTAGAATTACGCTATAGCACTTGATAATACAAAACGGATATAGTTATCTATCATAAAATAGAAAATAAATTTTATCATTACGAATATTTGCATAACGTTTACGTATAATAACATTTCTAAGTATTAAATCACAATCGACTTTTTTTTGTTCATTTCTGCGATAGAATATAATTACGCTTATTTGCGTAAATTATAGAATACTAAAATACATCCTATATTGCATGTATCTATGCTAAATACTAAAATCCGATGTATCGAACGCATATACCTCACGTTAAACTGGGACATAGTTCCTTAAAAAATGTAAAGACACGTCGTTCATATATGTAGAAAGAAATCATTTGTACAGAGATTGAGCAGAATAAAACGCGGTCATGAAAATCGTTCGATAACTTGAGTAATTCGAGCATAGCTATTTCGAAAACGTTTTCCAAATCTGCTTAAAAATTGTATTATAAAATGTGGTTGTCAAAAGGATGCAAAATGGCAGTAGAGTCAGAACACTATTACAGAGTTGACAAGTAGTCTTGAGCAACGATTAAACCATGTGTATAAACTCGTTCGTACAATTACATTTTCTTTTTAGTAGCCATGTCTACCGTCTTTAAAATTCGTAATCGTTTCTTCTTTTGTATAAATTGAATTGTAAAACTATCTAATTAAAATGACTATCGTTAATTATATCCGCACAGTGTAAAAGTACTGATAGAACCATATATGTCGACGGTAACGAATCTAGTAAAATCGGCAGACACGCATACTTTCGCAAAGAAATTCGATGACAATTCGACGACAGCCAATAGAGCTGGATGTTTAGGGTCCTTACCTTTTTTAGACTTCCAGAATTTCGTCGAATCGTACCCCACATTTGAGGTACCACTATTTTCCGATTGCATCTCATACATACCGGAATCTACGCTTTGGCTAGTAGACATACATAGAGAGTCGTCCATTTTATCACCGTTGGGAAAAGGAGTACTAATGCTGCGATTCATCCCACTCTTTTTCTTCTTTGAACTGTTCATAGCTAAAATAATGTTCCACCAAACTATTTCATCGGAACTTACGGAAAGGAGGATTGGAACCTCGATCGAGGACGGTGCCCAATTTAGTTGAGTAACGGGGTCCGTATGGAAGTGCAATTGGCATATCTCGCTTGTCATTGATACATCAATGATCTACAATTTAATAGTGTTGTATTATATACATAGTGGAATAAATAAGGTGCGAAAAGGGAACTTACAGAAATGTGTCCATTTTCGAAACCTATAGCTAAGTACTTTTCATTCTGTGAAATTTCGCAGCATCTCAATTTATGCGAATATATTTTTCTACAATATTCCGTTACTTTTATATTCGGTGGAAACGTGATCGTTTGGTTATAGAGTTTATAAACGACCACGCATCCGTTTTCGTTCAGCACGATTAGATAATTTTTCTGATAACTCAAGCAACTAGAACTGCTAGTTATCGAGTTCCCGATTTTTACTTGGTCTATGGGTATCCAGTTCGTACCATCGACGCGCCAAACCGTTATTACACCATTTTTAGTTACCGTTACTAGGTTCTCCTCGTCGATCTTATGAATCGAGATAACGTATCCTGCGTTCAGAACCAAATACGATATCTTGCCGGTTTTCCATACCTGCGTGACATGCACTCGGGTTAACAAATTAAGATAATTTTCTTAGCTCTAGCGTAATACAAATTTTGTACCATACCCTTAAATTTTCTTTCGATTCTCTACAGATGATTACGTAATTGTTATCTACGTCCGATTTCAGATCTAAAATTTTTATCAATTCTACAGAGGATGAGAATTGTAATGCAGGGGTACTTTGCTTGCTTTTTATATCAAATATGTTCACCATGCCTTTATCAGTTACGTAAATTATCGTTCCCTCGTGAAGTATCAAATTATTTATCTTTCCATTAATCGGTTCTGTTTCTGCTACTTTTACATCATTGTTTAACACGACGATCGTATTAGAGAGCGTTTCCGTAACAATAACGTCCGGTTCACTACCGAATTTTTGTACTTTCGCGTCGAACAACGGTTTCTTCGTTGTCAAACAAGTGCCTTCAACTGGAAGTTTCCATTTATGTAGCAATCGATTCTGGCTACCGCAGATAATGTGATATCCTTCCTTCATCCAATACGTGTCTAAAGAGGAAACGCGACTTTTGTAAGTAACTACCGCTGACTGAAATCCACCTTCCGCGTCCCATACGTTTATAAAACCACTCGAATCGGCCAAAACGATGTATTGTCCGTCGTTGGTCAAGCTGGCGCAAACAAAAACGGTCTTTTCATCTTCTACAGTAGCTCTTACTTGCTTCTTGTAACTGTGCATACTCAGATGCATCAGACTGTTAGTCGATACAAAGAACTTTACGTAAACAGCTTTTTTCTCGGTGACGATTAATAAAGAATTAGTTTGTTCTGGTGCGTTACGGAAAAAAATAATTTTCTTCCCCTCCAAATTCGGATTGTACTGCGATAGATATTTATAATCTTTGTCGGTTCTGTTGTACGATATCAGAACGCCGTTAACTTCATCCATTACATGGAGCAAATTACTCTCCGTTGTAAATGCAACGTATTTAAGATAACTATTACCGTTCGGATAATGGCACTGCCATTTCATGTTTCCAAACCGGTCCCAAACAACTATCATACCTTTGTCTGTACACGCTACGACGCGACTGTTATCGTAAGCGAATACCATGTCCAATATGATTTGTTCAGGAACAGAGAACTTCATCGAGCTGTGGTCATGGGGGATCTCGCTTGTATAAATCCCTTGCCAAAAGTCTTGTTTCTGTTTGGGAGGTATACATTTATCTTGTTCGTCCTCATCATCGGATAATTTAAAAAGCCTCACTATGCCCTGATCGTCTAACGACAGGAAGCAATCACCGTCGCTGGACACGACAATTTTTTTTATGCAGCTCATCTTGCTGTGTCCGGAGAAAAGCGTTTGCCTTTTATTGACGCTGTCCCACGAGTATATCTCACCTACTTTGTTTCCGAACAAGATCTGATCCGGATCGTGCGTGAAACACGTCGTCACCACTTCCGTGGACATTTCCTCGCTCATCGGCATGTCCATGTTTTGTGATTTCTTATCATGAAGAATATATAAGCAATTGGATCTCTCTTCCGCAAGTTTCATAGCGGTATCTTTTACGTACCCTTGATAAGGATGATTCATCGCTATTTGTACAATGTCTAAGCATCGTTTGCGTCTGTGCTCCGCTATAATACTCGACTGTTCTTCTAAGAACTTCTCCAAATCATGGAAACGCAGTTCATAGACCGAATCATGATCTTTCGTAATGTATTTTTTATAAATGTTAAAATCGATCAAAAGATTGTTCAGACCGCTGTAAATGATCGCAGATTCGATAAAATCGAAGTCTAAATATATCCGTGGAAACTCGTCGTACATTCGTGCTTGCTCCAAGTGATATCCGATATAAGAGTAGCTATAATTGTCTCCAGGTAATTTGGAGAAATCACCATTGGAGTATTCATGATATTTTTTTATTAACGATTTATGCTTCTCTATTATATCGTCCGGCGAGAACTTTTCTCGTAGATGACAGAGTAACAAATCATGGACACCATAAATATAACTGTTTAACTTATCGTTCCACTCTTTCGCAGCGAGTGACTTGTGACATAAATCGAGCATCATTTCTTCGACTCGATACGGGTTCTCTTCCCACAGAATTTTCAGCGTCTGCAGGTGAATATAAAACGAAAGTATGACATACGATTAATCCACGAGTACAAATGAAAACGACCAATCCTTTACCTCTGGAGTTATGTTAACGTCTTCCCTAAATATAACTAATTCCTCATAAAGATTTCTCATTTCAACCGACAATTGTTGTATACACGTATCAAAAATCCCTTTCTGTATGTCCCAAAAATCTTTGATCACTCTGTAAAATTAGAACATCGTTTAAGACTGTCCCAAACGGAATCGTGTGAAGATATTACCGAGTCTTCTTGTCGTGCTTCTTCAACGATTCTAAATAGTATCGCCATCTCTTCGAACTGATTCTCATGTCATGCTTAAACTCTTCGAATTGAGCAGAAAACATAGATATTAATAACGGCATGCCTTTACATTCTGCATGAATTTGTTTAGCTTCTTGCGGAAGCGACTCTACCTCGGTATCCAGTACCTTGGCGAAAAGACCTAAAGTCTCTGCTTCGGTAAATCCATCATTCAACTATAAATATATAATTAGAATTATGCACTGCGACGCTATATTTAGTTGAGACTTGAATCAAACAAATATTCACCCGGATCACAGATGGACGTTTACCCCATAAATATTCGCGATTCGTGGATATCACTAACGTCTTACATTCGAAATCGAACGCTTCGATTATACTTCGATCCCAAACGTCGTCTAGTATTAGCAAAGCATTGGGGTGCTTATTGAAATAATCTTTCAAAAAATGGATCAATGAGCCTTTAATTTCCGATTGCGGCGATAGCGGCAGTATTTCCAAATTCTTAACAAGATGATAGAGCCTAATGAGTTGAATCAATGTTTCTTCTTCGATCGAACGCTTATACCCAAATTTAATCCAATAAACTTCATTCTGAAAGGAAATTAACGAGCTGCTTTTCATTCTCTCGGCTGAGATACAAGTTACGATTGATTATTATTATTACCAGGAAAACGTACATTAAATTCCTTTCGTACGAAGTCAACATCGTTCAGCGTACTGGCTGCTAAACATGATCTACCGAAACCTTTCATACCGTGTAACAGTATATACCCATTCGGTTGCAATTTTGTAAGTTGCTCTTTCAACTGATTCATCTGCAATTACAGCCTGGGTTTTACAAAAGAGCGAAATAATTCATGATCGATAAGAAGTTGTTTAACAAATTTTCCTCTAGACTTACATAATTCCCATTCCCATTCGAGCATGCACATAAATATCGCAATTATTGATCAATTCTAAAGCTATTAAATACGATCGTACACGCGGGTCGTACCTTTTGCTGTCTTTCGACTGTCGACGGTGAGATCGGAGGAAGCGCGGGTGCACCACCGTATTTTATGTTATTAAACGGCTTTCCGCTCATTTCGAGATTATCCATTTCCTCACTCAACCATTCGTAATGTAACCTTAAGGCTTGGCGAAAGAAATTGAATGCATTTGGTCCGCAGCTAAAATACGACGACTTATCAAAGTTTTTGATAACGTTCCATCTGTACATTTGATATACAACATTTTACCTAGGAAGTATATCTAATAGAATCTCAGCCCTGCGCTCTTTAGAAGTGCCACTTTCGATTTTTGTTATATGCTGATCCGTTAATATATCTCTTAATTGGAGCGGCTTTATGACGTTATTGTGTACATCCATATCAGCCACTATTTTCCTCCGTAACGTTTTAAGAATGTGTTGGTGTAATTCATCCATTTTCATGGTGGCTTGTATCTACCTTGTCATATTAGCTTTTTATTTTTTTCCCGAGATTAAAAAGGGAATACAAATTAGTAACAGCGAAGCAACGTAAATAAAAGATTGGTCATACTATTTGTACATGTAGGGAACGATTTCTCGCTAAATTTCTAAGTATAGTATCTCAAGGTTTATATATCAAATAATCCTTGATAACTACAAACGTGAGATCTTATCTACACTATTAGTACAGAAAATAAAACTAGAGACAAGCGACTCGGAGTTTTTTTTTACAATTGTTAGATTATTCATAAATCCATATAATCCATAATAAAAATGAATCTTATGTTTAGTGAGACTCTATCCTTGGCACAATGTGTTTATGCATGAGGCTATTGTGCCAATCAATTGTACATGACTGTTTATTACAGGAGGCCTTGATCATAAGCAATATTCCCGAAATAGGTTTTCTCTGAGAAGGTCCGAAAATTTTCTTAAGAGTGATGCAGATTTCTTTTAATACAGACGTCCTTCCAAGCCGTTTTAATAAAAGATTATTTTGATCAAGTTTCTT